TAAATACAATAGATCTCAGTTTATTTCATTATCTAGATATTAGTGTGCACTTAACTATTTTGATTTGTGATATTCCTACTGTTTTATTCCTAGTGTCTGTTGAACCATCACAGAAGCAAAAGTGAAGATGTGGAACAACACTAAGTTTATTCTTCCAATCAGTAAGTTGTAGTAATAAATGACTGTACACAAAACAAAAGTGAATGCTTTTTATTTAGCTGTGTATTAATGCAAATGCCCAATAAATCTAAAAGCTTGAGTTATTCCCTGATAAAACAAACTCACTCATGATGTAACAGTATATTGTGGCTTTTGTTACCTTCAGACCAAGAGAAAAAAATTTTCCCTGAAAATTGTGCCTGTTTAAGTTTACATGACTTTAAACATCTTCAATTTAAAGACAGATGTCTTTTAAAAGTACTATTAATTTCTTTCCGTAAAGTAGTACAAAGAAAAACAGAGAAAAAAAAAGTTAAAATTTAAAAAATATTCCCTCACAAGTTACAAAAAACAAATGTTATGAGTTATAGTTTGCAGTTATAGTTATTATTGGAATTATATTTCCACTATTTTTGTGTGTGTGTGTGTGTGTGTGTGTGTGTGTATAACATGTGTCTGTGATAGAGTTCTGCTCTACATGTTTGTTATATTAAAACTTTATTTATTTCTGTCATTCCCACAGCTATTTGCATTCTTTGCATCAGGAGATGTCTCAATCTGGCACAGAGACACTGAGGAGCCAGAGCAAAGGCCAAACCCTGCGTAGAGAGGCTCTGGGAATGTGGAGTGGAATGTGTGTAAGTGCGTCAGTCTGTTTTTATCAGAGACACTGTAGAAGGACAGAGTGCCAGCAGGACAGTCCAAATACACCCATACCCTTTTAGAACGAGATGAGCATGATGGTGGACGCATTTTAGTCCTCTTATTATTGTGCCAGGCTGAGAAACTGTTATCAGAGCAGACGAGCCTCCAGGACTTCTCATTGGATCCAAACTCACAGTCGTTACTCTCTCCTTTCCTCCTGATTCCTTTATATGAGGCTGAAACATAGACTTCGCTCTTCCCGCTCCACTCAACCTCCCAGGAACAGCGTCCAGACAGACTCTCTCTGCACAGAACCTGAGGATAGCATTCAAATCTCTCAGAAAGGTCTGGATACGACTGCTCCTCTTCTACATATGTCACAGTTTTGTTCCCCTCAGACAGAGACAGATGTGTGTGCGCTGTGTTGGGGTCTAGCGTGAGCTCACAGGCACCTGAGCACAAGAACAGAGATTAGAGAAAGATCACAGACAATGCAACAAAAAAAGGTGTGTGTGCGAAAACCTACATCTTCGTAATCCAGCTGTAATCCTAAACTTGCCCTCATGTTCCAGACTACAGAAAAAAAAAACACTATGTCAGTTTCTGGTAATTTAAAACACAAATTGTAGTTAATTTTGAAGTTTTTTTGTCTGAAACCGCTGTTTACTATAAATGTACATATGAATGTTTTTAGGTCAGCAAAAGATGTATGTATACATGTAGATAGATATGCATTGAGTATATTTTGTATGTACTGCATGCCATTTCTATAGGTGTCCATTTAAAGAGCCCATCAAATCAAAATAGAAATGTTGTGACTTTTAGTACATCAGTTAACTTTGAGATCATAGTGTGCTTCTAAGGGTTGATACTGCGGTATTTGTGCAGTAAGAAAAATAGACTTCATTTAATACAAAAATCTTAAAGGGATAGTTCACCTAAAAATTAAAATGTGCTGTTAATTTAATCGCCTACAGGCTATTAAAGATATGTGACATTTTTTTCTTCAGAACAGTGGATTTTTAGCTGAAACTGTGGTCCTTGGTGATTCGTGAACCAGTTCACCAAATCCGAATGAACCGTCTGAAACAGTTTGCGGCTCGAGTCAGCACAGACCTAAAAGTTACTCAACCAAAACTAACTTTCAGACATGCCTGACAGTCACTCCGACTCAAAATGAGCCAAAATACCGGTGTATATGATCCCCTGATGCTGGATTTTGCCAATACATTCAGTGTTGTAGTTCCTTCAACAGTATACTGAACTAGGAAAGAATTCTGACTTGTTGATTAAGACTACTTCATTCATTGTATATGCTTTAGACATGTAAATCATCCACGTTTCACATCATTATTGGGTGCTTCAATAGTATAATTGCATATATGTTACAAAAATTTTTTTGAAATACACTGTCCGAAAGAACCAGTTTGCGAAAAATAATCAGACTTCTCTGTTGCCTGAGGTTATGAAATACAGGTAATAATGTTCATTTTATTGCACAGACCAATCATTTCACTTCATAAGATCTCAATATATCATCAGGAGCCACGGGTATTTTTTGTTGTTTTGTTTTGTTTTGTTTGTGTTGCTTCTTTTTTGATTCTCAAGTGATGGCAGCCACTGACTTGAATTTTATGAATCACCAAGGACCACGGTTTCAGCTAAAAACCTTCTTTAATGTTCTACTGAATAAAAAAAGTCACCTACATCTTGGATGGCCAGAGGGTAAGTAAATTTTAAAATAGCCAATTTTAATCTTTCGGTCAAAAATGCCACTGATTTAAAGCATCTCAGTATCTGAAGTGAACAAGAAAAGAAATGTCTTCCTGTGCAACATACTTGAGGGTCTCCAATTTGAAAGTTGGATCATTCAATCTAGCAGTGAGCAGCTGACCACCCAAATCTCCTGGATGATTGCAGCTGAGGTCCAGCTCTCTGAGGTGTAAGGGGTTTGAAGTAAGAGCTGCGGCCAAAACAGAACAGCCTTCCTCTGTGATAAAACAGCCAGACAGTCTACAGAGACACACATTTAAATGTTTACATAAAAATTATCTAAGATATAAAAATCTGAAAGTATGTATAAAATAATACAGTATGAACTATTTAGTGTAAATATCTATATTGAAATGTAAGCTTTTAAAACACCTCAGTATCTCCAGTTTACAGTGTGAACTCTTCAGGCCATCTGAGAGCATCTTCACTCCTGAGTCCTGCAGGTCATTTTTGCTCAAGTTCAGCTCTCTCAAAGGGCATTTTGCTAGTTGTAAAACTGAAGCCACAGTCACACCGGACTGATCAGTGAGATTACAAGTGGACATTCTGTTCAGAACAATAAAACTATAATTAGACACCCACTGAACATGCATAGCAGCAGATCTGACTGATGTGTGGACACCAATATTGCAGCAATTTTCTAAACATAATGTAGACTGCTACTCCATATGTTTGGAGTAACTATTTTGAGCATGAAAGTACAGAACAAACACACTTCTGTGCATATACATTACAAAACATATTTAAAGACAGTTTTAGTAACAACATATCAATGAAACTGAAATACAAACCTCAGTATCTCTAGTATACAGTGAGGACTCTTCAGTCCAGTTGAGAAAATCTCCACTCCAGTATCCCGCAGGTCATTGTCACTCAGGTCCAGCTCCTTCAGAAGGCAGTTAACTGATTGTAGAATTGAAGCCATCATTTCACAGGACTGACCAGTCAGGTTACAGCTGGCCAATCTAAAATAAACAGTTATGTTTCACATTATGTGATAATATGTGATGTCCTGATGATATTAACAACATAAAAATATTTAAATATCTTGATTTATCAAAATCTTGCTTTACTGCATGTCTAATACTGTCACATATCCAGTTGCACTGCAATGCTTCAGACAATGCTTCACAAACCTTAGTTTTTCCAGTTTACAGCTATTCAGTCCAGCAGAGAGCCATTCCAGACGTGAATCCTTCAGGTCATTATTACTCAGGTCCAACTCTCTCAGGCAGGAGTTCACTGAAAGTAGAACTGAGCCCAGTGTTTCACTTGACTGGTCGGTGAGTTTACAGCCAGCCAGGCTACAAAATAAAAGAATTTGTGAAGTTGCTTTTGTCTTTCTAAAACGTTGTTTTTTTTATAAATCTTAAAATAGTATTTGCTTTTGCAGGTCTAGTTTTTATATAGTCCTTTTTAGTCCAATGTTAATTTATGTTTCCAGGTTGGAAAACCATTTTACTTATACTATAAACAAGCAAATAATGCTATGACATTTTGTATGCTTATATTATTTCATTTTATTTATATTCAATTTATTTAAACCAAGTCTCATCAAGTATGTGCTGTGTTTACACAATTTTTACACTGCTTCAAAAACTAATACAGTAACATTTCCTGTCTGCCATGCTGCTGAGTGGTTTGTGATTGTAGCTCCGTGTAGCTTCGCTTTTTTGTTAAATCTCTATCTTACTATCACTCTCTGTTGTTTAAAGTGATAAAATATAACTTAATTCCCACCATATATCTGATATTATCTATCAAACTAATCTGATTAATTTGCTCGTTTGCTTTTATTCTAAAACCGTGAGTGCAGCGCGTTAGCATTCGTTAGCCGGTTAGCTTGTCATTCGCGTTTCCATTTGCGTCTATTGCTGTTCTCTTTTTTCCTTTTCTCTCTCGCTCCGTTTTTCACGAGTTCATCAAACAACAGTGGTAAGTCAGAATCATTCATCAATCAAGGTGAGTTAATGCTATTGTTGTTTGCACCGCTTGCCACATGTATAGTTTAGCTGTCTCTGTCGGCGATGAGGGATTCACATGTGATAAATGCAGGGAAATAGTTAGGCTGACAGAAAAGATTTCAGAATTAGAGACACGCATCCAAACTTTAATTGAGGACAGTAAGAATGTGAGGGCTGTAGATACGGCTTTGGATGCAGCTAGCTCAGGGAGTCCTGTACATTGTTCAGTTCCGGTTACAGAGCCCCCGCAGCAACTGGGTGACTGTGAGGCGGCATAGTCGCGGGTCAAAACACAGCTCTACCGTTCTGTTCAAAACATTAAACAGGTTCTCCCCACTCAGTGACGCACCCGCTGAGAAACCTGATCAAAGTGCTCTAGTTATTGGCCATTCTATTGTATGGAACGTGAAAATAGAGACACCAGCCACCATAGTCCAATGTTTACCGGGAGCCAGAGCGCCTGACATCTTGGCAAATTTAAAAGTGCCGGCTAATGCTAACGTAAATTCAGTAAGATTGTTATTCACACCGGCGCTAATGATGTTCGACTTCGCCAGTCGGAGATCACTAAAAATAACATTAAAGAGGTGTGTGAACTTCCAAGTACGATGTCAGACACTGTAATATGCCCTGGTCCCCTCCCTGCTTACCGTGGTGACGAGAT